CCTCCCGCATCCCGCGTGTGCCTCGCGCCGCACCTCGATTTCGGGGCGAGTCGCCTCACGGGCCCAGCAGTGCTCACGGCCACCCTGCCCTGGCCGGGACGCAGCGCGAGGAGGGCGCTCAGCCGGGGCGGGCGGCGGTGCAGACCCAGGGCGCGGGCGTGGGGACCGCCGTCACCCGAGGATCCCCTGCTCTCGCGGCCGGCTGCCACGTCCTCCGACCCCACGCTCCGCCTCTCCCTCCCGCGGTCTGGTTCCAGCGTCCGCGGCTCGGGTTATAAAGTCCGACGGAGCGCCGGGACTGAGTCCGCGACTCCGGAGGAGGGTGGTGAAGGGCCCGAACCCTCCTGCTGCTGCTCTCGGGCCGGAGCCGCGGGGCAGCGAGGTCGGCTGCGCGTGCTGCGACCGCGACAGCGAGGTCCGAGGGTGAGGGTGGGCAAGATCCGCACTGCTGGGACCGCAGACCCACGCAGGCTTTCGGCTGAGCCTGCGGACCCCGTGCAGCTGCAACAGCAGAGCAGGGGTGCGACCCCCCTGGTCGCAGGGGTGCGACCAGGGCTGCGGGACTGGTCGCCGGTGCTGGGGGCGCTCCGGGGACTCCCCGGGTTCTGCGGCTGAGGCGAAAAGCGATCCGTGCGAGGAGACTAGGAGACCAGGGTCCCACTAGACCAATGATGCGGGTGGCCATGTGTGAGGCACCGCCCGCACACGCGCGCTTTGCTAGACTGTACTAACACTCTTTCTGCGGATGGGTGGTACACCAGGGCCTCTGCACTGAGCTGTCTCCAGCCCCTTTTAAATTTTTTTATTTTGAGCCAGGGTTTCACCAAGTCACTACATTTCCCAGGCTGGGCTCAGCCTCCAGTGCTGGGATGGAGGCATGCGCCACCACACCTGGCTTGAGCGCCAAGGTCTGTGAAGCACACTGAGAATGCTGATGACCCGGTAAGGTGCCTTCCCAGCAGAACCGTGCTGTGCGCTCTTGGTGTGTGCTGTGAGGGTTAGCCCACTAGGGAATGCTGTGAAGTCTCTATTATCCAAAGCCCACTCTATTTTCTCTGCTCATGTCCTAGGGTAGTGGTGGTGAACTTATGACACACGTGCTGCAGCAGGCTGCCTGTTATCACTGAAAGCTAAAAAGCCAGCCTAAATTGCTGCACCAGCTTCTGGATGCCTCCCTACCCCCTCGCTTGCTCTTCGCCTCTCCATTCACTTCTCACACATAAGCCAGGGTGATTCTTTCCAAACACAAGTTGTGCCACATCCCTCTTCTGCCTATGGGCGTCACTCCTCACACTCACAGCACTGCTGGAACCCTCCCAGTGCTCATCAGGCCTCTGACCTTACCTGTACTCTCCTCCCTCCAGCCTCTCGGGCCTCCTCGCCCTCACAGACATGCCCTGCCTTGGTACGCTCCTGTTGGAGGCTCCCCTGCCCAGAAAAAACTTACTCGGACAGTTTGAGACGATCTTTCATGTCTTCCAAACCTTCCTCAAAAGCCACCTTCTCAAAGGCTTGTGCTGACCACCACATTAAAACAGCCGTCGTCTCTGTCCCCACAAATCCACACTTGGGACCGCCCTCAGCACAGCACTTACTACATTCTGGTGTGACCTGTTTCCACTGTGTGTAGTGGGTGGTCTGCTGCTTCTCACCAGGCATGAGCTCCACAAAGCTGACAGTTCTGAGCTCCCTGACTGTTATGGTTTATGTCTGATGCCCCCTCAAAGCCTCATGCAGTCATGGGGCGGGATTCTAGAGTTTATGATTGATCCATGATCCAATGCTGGAATTATGGATGTGAGTGCTACACCTTCCTGCAAGCAGATGGTTCGCATACAGCGTAAGGGAGGGAAAAAGGCTGCTTGCCACTGCTCCTCCCTTTTGCTCTTGTTGCTTTGCTGTTTTCCACTGCCATGAACTGTTGCCCTCTGCCATTTGCCACCCTGCCTTGGAGCCAGCTGATTATACACTGAAACTTCCAGAGACTGTGCGCTAAACAGACCCTTCCTTCCTTAATTCTGGGCATCAGGTATTTTGTCTCAGCATGAGAGAAAAGTAACTAAGACACTGACCTTCCTGAGGTGGAAATATAGTTTGCCATACAGCAAGTACTTATGAGTATTAGCTGAAGATCACAGTGGAGCACCTGCCTATGCTAGCCAGTATTGTTATGCAGCCTCAGACCAAAGAGAGTAGAACATCCTCTCATGTTGAGCTCAGGGCCACCAGGCTTTTCTCACAATTGAGGTTTGCTTTGTTGGATGAGAAACTAATACAATGGTGCCTCGATTCATGAACTCAATTATCTCCACGATTCTGGTCCCAAACTAAATTGGACAAGAACGGAATCAAATTTCCCCACAAGGCCAACACTGAACCTAACCATTGCATTTGAATTGGTTCTTGTCCAAATCAGCTTTTGACCAGAATCACAGAAAGAATTGGGCTCAGTTCATGAACCGAGGCACTTTGTAAATGACATCTTCCACTCATTCCCTCGACGGTCTGTTCTGAGGTACAGCTTTTGTCTATACTATTTATTCAAAATTTCTTTTGTCTTGGTAGGAAGAAAAGCTCCTATGAGACTTCAGAGGGTTGGGCTGGGGATACAGCTCAGTGGCACAGTGCCTGCCTGGCAAGCATGAGGTCCTAAATTTGATGTCTAGTACCCAAAAATTAATAAAGACTTCAAAGGATCTTTGTGTATCATATTCGTTTTTATGTTTTTGCCTTTTGTGGTCATTTTGGCTTGGGAAAGAGCCAGAATTCGAACAGTGCCAGACCTGGTGAATAAGGTGGGTGAAGACACAGTGAGGGTCTGTAGCTAGATGTTGCCCGAGGGCCTCACACACTCATTCACAGGGCTTCTGGTAGATTAGGCCATGGTATTCTAATACATACTTACTGGGTTCTTTTACAAATAAAATTAGCCTTGTGGTGGCCTAAAGACAAAAGAAGAAGTCCGTATGAGGCAAAGCAAGTGGGTAGGAATGAGATTTTGGTGTGTACACTGGACAGATTTTGGAACTAGCACACACAAAATAAAAGTCAGTTTCTGAATGCAAGTGAAGCAAATTTGACCATTTCCACACAGAAGTCATCTGTATCAATTTTTTTTTTTTTTTTTTTTTGTCTTTTTGAGACAGGGTCTCACTTATGCAGTTCAGGCTGGTCTTGAGCTTATTTTGTAACCCAGGCTGGTCTCAACTCACAACAATCCTCCTGCTTCAGCCTCCCAAGGCTGTAATCACAAGATTACAGTTGTGTGCCACCATGCCTGGCTCATGCATCAATTTTGAATCTCTTTATGGGACTGGGGAGACGCTGAAACACACAAGACGCTGGACTGACACTAGTGTAGGGTGTGCAGTGACCCATCACAGCAGCAAATGCTGTCAAAGACAGAAACCTGACCATGGGACTGCAGCCTGGGACACAATTATATTTATTCAGTTCCACAAGGCCGGCACTGGCCACATGTGGCAACTTCAATTTAAAATACTTGAAATTAAATTAAAAATTCTGTTCCTCAGCTACACTAGCCATACTTCAAATGCTGAACAGCCTCATGTAGTGAGTGGCTATTCTACTGGGAAGAGACGTAGGAACATCTTGTGCCCGTAGGGCACATCTTAAGCACAACTTAAGTATGACGTCCCTTAGCTCATCCAATTTCCACTTCTTTGGTTCTCTACTCACCAGTGTGAACCCCTACCTTCTCAACCTTCTGGTATGGAGGACGAAAATGCACTGACTGGAAAACAATAAATTATACTATGCTCCATGATTAAAATTAAACTCCTACATTTGCTTTCTGGTCTCAATGGGTACTGGAGGCATGTGTTTGGGAAGCTGAGTGTGCTTGACCTTCACTGGATCCACACAGAGGGAAGGTCTTGCGTAAGTGAGTGAGAAAAAGTTATTAAATATTGGGCTGGAAGAACCCTGAGAGACTACCACTCTCCCTTCTCTAACCACTTGCCTCCTTTCATCTGCTCACCTAGGTGGGCTTTACATAGCATTGTGCACACTCCTCTGTCATACCCTGGACCACACATTATCTACTTACAAAGTGGTTTATGCCATTACTTGTAAACAGCTCAATGGCAGGAGCTTCTCTTCATTCCTAGTATCTAACACAATGCCTGGCACACAGAAAATTCTCAAAATGAAGTTTCTCATACAAATAAATTATATGGCCGGGTGTGATAGTGCACACCTGTAATCCCAGCACCTGGGAGGCTGAGGCAGGATTGTTGTGAGTTTGAGGCCAGCCTGGGCTATAAAATGAGCTCAAGGCCAGCCCAAACTGCATAGTGAGACCCTGTCTTAAAAAGACAAAAAAAAATATTATATGATGCAAGTTAGATTTTTGGGCCTGGATAGGAACTCTTTGGTGAAGGTATAAAAGTATCCACTAGGTAAAAAACTATATACTGAGCTATAGTAATATCATCAGGCTGACTTCAAAGTTTAGGAGCAGGGACAATGGGAGAGGCAGATGATAAAAATTCCTCACCATTGCCCAATTTAGGACTTTCCAACTGGGGAAACAACATTTATCAAACAACTAACACCCACTAGTGCTTCACAAAAATCACAATCTTCCCATTGGCTCTATAAGGTATTATTCTCTCTTTACAAAGAGGGAAACTGAACGAAAAAAAAAACAAATAAGGAACTTGAATAAACAACAAATAGAGTGAGGCATGGTGGTGCATGTCTGTAATCCCAGCACTTGGGAGGCTAAGGCAGGAGGATCTTTGCAAGTTTGAGACTAGCCTGGGCTACAAAGTGAGCTCAAGGCCAGCCTGAACTGCAAAGTGAGACCTTGTCTCAAAAAGACCAAAAAAAAAAAAACCAAAATGAAAACAAAAAACCCCAGAAATACCTAAGCAAGTTTTCAAATTCAGAACTACCTTATACTATATGTGTTGCAAATGAGAATATGACTTAACCCTTAGAAGAAGCAACTAGCAAAAAAAGATTCAATTAAGGGATAATGTTTCATCACAAAACCACTGAAACTTTACTAACACTTACTAATGTTTTATTTTTCTATTTGACGTTCCAAGAAGGGGGGTAGAGCCAAGTATTTTCTTTCACATGATTTCAGAACTGTATCTACTTTCTCTCTCCTCTGAGACTTTTCCATAAGAACAGTCACTTGCACCCGACTTCTACCGCATGGCTGGAAAAGCGGATATGCAGTAACTCTCTCAAACTCCCTGGTCTCTTTCTGTGCTCTCTCATACTTTGCACGGGCAGGCGGCTGGCTCTGGCTTTTTCTCAGGATTCTTTCCTTGAGTCTTTGCTCTGTAAGTTCTCTCCCTCGAATCATTCGTTCCTGGTGATCCTTAATTTGCATCTGTTCTCTCTCATTTACCTGCTTTCTTTGTGCTTTCTGGATGCCATGCTTTTCTGGCATAATTTTTGGTAATGTATCACTGAGGGGTTGTGGTTGTTTGGATGTTCCGTTCTTAAATCCTCTGGCCTGGCCTGTTCGATGTACATGTCTTTCTATCTGTTTCCTCTCTCTCTCAGGTACTACACAGTAATGCTTTTGTCCCTCTACGCTCCGGGTTGTTTCCTCCTCCACTTTCATCTTAATTTCATTGCCTGTTGCCTCTTTCTTCATTATGTCCATCATTCTTTTATTATAGTAGGACTCTGCTTTGGCAAGCCAGTAGTCAAGCGAACAAGCCTGCTCCCTACAGAGCGCTTCATATTCCTCTTGATGTTTCTGAGTCAGCAAGTGTCTTGCTGCTGTTGTATGCATGCCACCTAGATTCTGTGGAAGGTTTAGGATTTTATAATGTGATCATCTTTTTTCTTTGAACACATTTAAACAGGAGCCTACCCCTTCCAACACTGAGAAGATACAGTTTGTAATAATTTTTTTTTTTTTTTTTTTTTTGGTTTTTCTCTTTGGTACCGGGAACCGAACTCACGACCTTGCGCTTGCCAGGCAGGCGCTTTTGCCGCTGA